AAACCTAAATTCACATGCATTAACTTTAAATGATGCACTTTGCCCTTAACCTGGCCATTTTTCGGATTAATAATTTTGGATATATGAATTGTAGAACTTTCATATTTTACTAAACCATTACAACACTGTCAATATATGGGAATCGTTGTAAACAACTCATATCTGTAGGCTGTATTCATCATGGGCTGATCTGAGTTAAGGTACTTTTGAGAAAAGAGAGTAGGAATGAATATCTACGACACTGTCAGGTATCGGAGAACGAATATCCAATAGAAGCACTTTGTTAACTTCTAATGGAATAGCCACAACTTCAATCAATTCGCAATATAGTTCCATAATCTTCCAACACTTTTAGTGGCAACTGTTTCACATTCGATACATCTTTGTACAGTCAGTAATACGACTTCGTCCTCGAGCCTTGCATTTGTTGCATTTAGTCTTACCGTTCTTCAACTGACCTATCTGACATAGTAGGACCTTGAAGAACGATTTTTCTAGCCAATATAGCCGGACTGGTTCATTAAAATAGACAAACCCGACCACCATGTCAAGGTAGCAGCAACGGTCGGGTACAAGTAGATGTTAATTGATCAGTCGTTTAAAGAGATCAGTAAACAGTAGATTTATTTAAAGGTGATTTTTATTACGGACTGACATCATCCAGAGGAAAATTGTGAAACGAGAGTGAAGTAGACTGGTATTTCACTAGTGTCAAGGAATCTACAGTGATTCAAACACACGATTCCACTCAAGATCAAAACAAAGACCTTATGGTCTAGACATAATCACACTGACTTTGACTGCTGAAAAAAAAACTGAAATTCACAACCTTATTCATTCTACCATGTTAAAAAAATCTTCTACAAATGAGATCTATGGGCTATTGAGTCAGTTGTGACTTTATCAATTTCATGAATCACGTTATCGCACCATCATTGTTGGTCAAAGGAGATTTGTAGAAAGGAAGATGGTAAGGCAATATTGTGGATTGGTTGAAAACAGACATTAACACTGTTAGATGCCGGCTCAGTGGTCTAGAGTTTAAGTGTTCGCGCGCGAGACAGAAAGAGTTGGGTTCGGGTACCGCATGCAGGATCTTGATTGTACACTGTTGAAGAGTCACATACTAGAAAGAACCGGCCGTTCAGTGCTTCTTCTAAGTCTTCAGTAGTGATCTAACATTGATCGGACCATGATCTCAATAAAAGCTCAACAATTTCTACAATCCTACACTGACGTTTGTAGAAAGTTGGTTGTATTATTCAACATGCGTTCATTCTGTATTAATCTAAGACTAAGAAATATGAATTATGAGTTACAAGTGTCTGATCATCTGTTTATTCCAAAGTATTCTTCACCGAGTTTTATATTTGAATGAAAAGTAATTCACCTTCAGATTCAAGATGTTGTTCAATCATGAATTGACACTATTCACTAAAATTTGACCCTAAAACACTAAGAAACCACGATTTAATTGTAGACCTTCGAATTTGATGGAAAGTAACTGTTTCGCATAATCAAGTTTAAATACAACGTAACTTGTTACGCATGATTAAATGAGTTGTTTGATAGTGATCGTAGACTAACTTATCCGAAAGTTAACTAATTATCACTGTCAAAAGAGTAAAAGATTATACTAACCGCCAACTGAGCTGGTCGAAACATTCGTTAAATCTTCCTCATCATCAATCTTTGTTGAACTAATCAAATTTATCGCTAAGATTCATAGAATGATTGCAATCTACTTTTAGCGCTTTTAGAATCATGGCCTAAGTCAGGTTGAAATGACTTAAGTGTGTTCAGGTTTTGCTTCATTAGAAATCCAAGAACGTAGTAATATGATTATATTCCTTGTGCTGTTTCATTTTCTATGCTTATTACTCAATCTGATTACCTTTTTAGTTCATTGAGCCGGAAACAACAGTTTACAGGTCTACGGTTGTATAACTGAGATTAGTCCATAATATAAACCACAAAATTCAACAACCTCTACAAACCCCATAGTAATAACAATCATGTGCTTAATAGTAACTAATTTCGAATGATAATTTCAGGAGTCATAGTGAGAAGCAGTAATTGGTTGAGTTCAATCTTTTTAAATTTAACGCAATAACTCACCAACGGCCTGGGGAAGATCACATACATCCAAACCATTCATTGACGAATCATTGGTATAAAGATCAAGTGATCACTACAAAACCTGAAGGTCCACTTTATAATTTCTGGAGAAGTTGTAGAATTTCCCTGCTAAAATGCCCGACATTAGAACGAAGCAGATGTATATTGCTTTCTCACTAAAGTCAGTCCCTGATCTAAACCATGATATAAATAAATTATTCAACTTATTATTCATGATATTATCTTATAAGGAGAGTGAGCAAGAACTATTACAGATCTGTAGTCATTGTTTTCCATGGATAGTGATCTTATTGTTTCGTGCTGGCGTATTATTACAATTAATGTGATGAATGATTATAAGTTGTCTGTGGCTAAACATCGTGTGGAAGTTACTACAGTTGTCAGTCTAAGAGAAGAGTTATAGGAAGTTACTGAGCATGATGTGCAGAATAAGTTGAAAATCAGAAGATAAGCGAGAGAACTCAGTCTAGAACCAACTTGAATTTCAAAAAGCACAAGATGTAAATGAATGGCTAAAGACTAGGTGTACATATTGCATAAATATTTTATTACTTCAAGTATCATTCAAGTCTTCAACTGGATGATGAAAAGTAATGATGTTACTAGTTATCCAATAAGCAGAAGTCATGGCGTTTTTTAGTTTCTTGTACAAGGTATTACGAACCAAGCCTTCATTTTGAATATTTAAGGGATAAATAAATAGAATAGACCAAAGAACACATTTTGCCGATAATTGGGGACAGACATTAAAAGAATCAATCGTACTGCGCAAAACTGGGAATAAGAGCCCAAAACAGAGTTGGTCGAAGAATCTTAGTCGGAGGTCTATGCTTTACCAGGGATGATAGGTGTAAGGTAATTTTACACTGAATGAAGTTAAAAATCAACAACACAATGGTTCATAGGTAAAATATTCAACATGAGACCGGACGAACACTGATTTTAGGCCTGTTACTGTTTGGAATTTACAATGATGAGATGTAATTTACCAGAATAAAACAAATTTCTACAATAATATTGTTTGTTCATCAATAGGAATCAATGCAGAGTAACATTCTGAATTAATTCAAAGTAATAGATGTTCAGCGCAATATTTATTTACATTCTGGTAATTTCACTCATAACTGCGCATTTAGCTACTACGGGTCCCAAGAATGAGTAAAGATGAAAGGTTAAGCGTGAGGCCGGCAATCCCATCCTTCAGAAAACAACCTTGTAAAAAAGAAACGCTAACCAGAATAAGTAATTTCAGTCATATCTATCCATTCAACATGACATTAGTTAATTAATAATCTCTGAGGAGAAAATTCATGTACAAGAGTGGAACTTTTTCATTTTGTATTTTTTACGCAGATAAACATGCCAGACGTTTTTGACATTGTATAATTTAGTGGGATATAATGTGATGGTATCTATCATATTTGTTATTGATTCATGTATTATCAATCTAAATTCGATTTAGTAGAGTATAATACAACTCCGCTTGGAGTCCCTCCGGGGGCTACTGCCGGTCCCAAGCCCGGATAAAGGAGGAGGTTTGGGCATAGGTTTAGCAAACAAATCCTATAGAAAACTAACTCGCTAAAAAAACGCTAGCCAGAAAAATTTATTTGAGCCTTCTAAACTCTGCTTTGGGAGTCAGAAAGTCTTCATTTAGAAGAGTTATAACGCCTCATGATGCAAGCCGAGTTCCTTCGTGAGTCATGAGGTCGATGCCCCTTCTGACAACCAGAGCAACCATTTATTTAGGTTCATGGAATACTCGTGGGAAACCAGAAGAGTCTTCCAAATTGCTGCAATACAAAATCTGCTTGATTATTACTTCAGGTTCTCTCAAATTTCATTTCTTCAAATATAAATGTAGACAGATTCGGAACGTTTTCCTTTCATATACAGTAAGTAAATCAGGCAGTTATATACACTGTAGAATCTGACACATGTGAATTGGTTCAAATTACCATCTTATATTAGCACAGTAATATCAAATGTTTTCAAAACAAATACCAGAATAGTATTGTGGTGCGTGCTACTTATATTGACGTAAGTAGTATATGACGCGAGTTAAAAACGTAATGTCTGGCAGCAGAAGATGGGGAAAGATCAAGAAAGGAAGGACTGGAACACAATGCAATTTGTAAGAAAATGCATAACCAATGAAATATGAGACAATGGATTGATGATTGCAACAGGAACAGTCAGGTTTGATATGATGGAATGATATTTACAAATTAACGATTTACTATTTTCAGATGGGTTTTGTGGAGAATTTTAGAATTTTCACAGTTTTTTTGAAATCATGAGTCAGTTGAAGCTAGACCACCATTGAAAACCTGGAAGCACTGGACGGCCGTTTCGTCCTGGTATGGGACTCCTCAGCAGTGCGCATCCACGATCCCGCACCACGCGGGGCTCGAACCCAGGACCTACTGGCTTCGCGCGCGAGCACTTAACCACTAGACCACTGAGCCGGCATCCAACGGTGTTAATGTCTAACTATTTGGTTTTTCTATTTTACCAAGTAACTCTGTAATTCCATTTGTTTGTCGCTACCCGTGTTCTCTTCACCACAGTATAAATAGTAGGAAAGATTATACAGGGAGATTCCCAGTATTCAAGTTTTAAACTACATGAAATGGATACATCTATGTCATTACAAATGATTTTAATCTGTCACAGAAAGTCTCTAATCAATAGTTTCAATAATCAGGTAGACTTCAACCAGATGAATTACAGACATTAACATAGTTCAGTTCATTTGTCTTCCTAGACTGGTACCAAAAAATAAGGTGAGGAGTTAGACACGTTTTACTAGTAAATCTGTTTCATTATCCCATATAAATTGTGAAAATAATCCTACTTACCAGTTATTTCTTGATTATGATTAACAGACCACATTGGAGCTTGTGAATCACTAATACTTTGTGTAAATAATCCACCAGCTACACTAATCAATTGTTCTTGTGTTGTAATCAATATACGTAATGCTTGTCTAGATGAATTATGTAATTTAGGAAAAATTTTATTTGTTTGTCTATCATGAATAGTATTAACGAATTCATCATGATCATCATCATGATCATCATCGTCATCATTATTATGAACACGATGTTGAAATGGATCACAATTTAATTCATGTAATTGTTTTCTTGTTGTTAAGATATTCGATTCACGTTCAGCTGTTGTCCATATATAACAACCACGTTCTATATTATCCGTATGCTCTTAGTAACAAAAATTAAATAAACATTCAACATAATAATAATAATCAATAATAATTTTTTGATAAACATCAAAATGTAAACCATTCCACCCCCCTTCTTTATTATTATTTTTTTTTCTATTTTTTTTTGTTCAAATGAATAGAAAGAATAATTCAGTTGAAGAATTATATCATCAAGCAGGTTAACTTTACATAGATACTAAATTCTTTATATTACCATGGCAAATAAATACTACTTATATAGAGATTTAATCCATATATATATTTTATAATAATATATCCATCCATAGACTAGGGAATGAACAATTGAGAATAGGAATGAATGAATGCCAAGTTTTTGCACTAATCTATATATATTTAAGTAATAAGGAAAGAAAGAAAACTGAAATGTTTTAATCGATTAGTTTCTGTAAATGATTTCATCGATCAATGGGTAGGTAAGTAAGTAAGTAACTAAGTAAGTAAGTAAGTAAAACGATTTCTAAATAAGTAACTAAGTTAAATATTCGTTATTTAGCAACCCCTATCATCACCTTCCTATTTCAATCATTAAATTCATTCTTAATAGTTGAACAGACATTCTAACTAAAGAATATATACATTTATACATACAATGTTGAACTGCCAATCTTTAATGGTTAGAAAGAGTAATAGTAGTAGTAGTAACTAGGTCGGATGGAAATTTGAGAAGTGAATTAGAATTGACATTAGCAACTTATGATTGGTTGAAAATATTGTTTCTAATTGTGTATATACATATGTAGATAACATGGAAATATGATTAGTTCTTTGATGAATAAAAGGGGAATGTATATATGTATAGATTTGTAATAGAGAACTTATGCCAGAAAAATTAATCAGTCTGATTTAGATCTGTCTTATCAAATTTAGGTAAAGAGAAAAAAAAGTGAGATGTGTAATAGAGAATTAAGACAAATTTAGAACATTAACGTGATTCAATAATGATCATTAAATTAGATCTGAGTAATTTGATCTTGAACAAAATAGATTCTATGTATGCAATCAGCTCAAAGTATTTTTAGAACATTAACAATTACTATCTATTACCATATCCCTTGTGTGTGTGTGTGTATGTGCCTGTGTTTCGTGGGGGGGGGAGGAAATCACTCTACTGTACTTTCAGGAAAAATATGCTTTACTGACAAGTTTCAAGGATGTTAAAACGACCTTGTGAAGGTGAAGCCAGTCATTAATCAACCGGGACACAGGTGATATAAATAAGTAATTTATCATTATAGTTGACATCATGAACTGATCCTTACTAGATCACCATTGAAGACCAGTAGGCACTGGACGGCCATTTTGTTCTTGCATGAAACTCTTAGGCAGTGAGCATCTATGACCTCAACACCGGGGACCGAACCTAGGACCCTCGGATTAGCATGAGAAGTTTTATTCTTTAGGCCAGCGAGTTGGCATCCATTGATGTTAATGTTTGACTTCAATCAGTTCAAGATATTGAGGGTTGCACAATATTATGAGCTGATTGGAGATCCAGTGGTTAAGCGTCAACGGGCGAGACTAAAGGCCCTTGGTCCGATCCTGGAGTCCATGGTCATGGGTGCCAACCGCTGAGGAATACTATGCTAGGATGAAACGGTGGTCCAGTGCTTCAAGGTTTTCGATGGTGCTCCAGTTTTGATCCGTTGGTTATTTCAACTATACAAGTTCTACATTACGACAATCTCCCTATACTTATAACCACTTATTACTTACTCACTTACGCCCGCTACTCCTCGTGGAGGACCAAAGGCCGCTCACCATCACTCTACATCTAACCCTATCCTAAGTAATCCTTTCCAATTTTTCCAATTGCTATTCATCCTTTCACGTCTGCTTCCAATTATCGACATAGTGTTCTTCGGCGTTCCTCTTTTCCGTTTGTCTACAGGGCTTGCCTCGTGATGCAGTTCGGTGATTTTTTTAGTGTATGTCCTATCCACTTCCGACGTCTTTTTCTAATTTCCTATTCAACTTGAAGCTGGTTTGTTCTCTCTCACAGAGGGCTGTTGTTAATGGTATCCGTCCAACGGATGTTGAGCACCTTGCGTAGACAAATATTTATAAATAATCGTACCTTTTGATGATGGCTGTAGTAGTTCTCAAAATTTCAGCTCCGTACAGTAGAAGTGTCTTGACCTTTGAACTCAAAATTGTGACTTCGATGTTTTGCTGACAGTTGTTTTGAGTTTCATATGTTCTTCAACTGCAGGAATGCGGCCGCTGTATTGCGGATCCTCGCCGTTACATCTGCATCTGATCCTCCTTGTTCATCGATGATACTTCCTAAGTACGTGAAGGATTCCACATGTTCCAGAGTTTCTCCATCATGTGTGATTAGTTTGTTGATCGTGTCGTACTTGAGGATTTTACTTTCTTCTTAGTGTATACTGAAGCCTACTCATTGAGAGGCTGCTACTACGTTAGTTGTCTTCATCTGCATTAGTTCGTATGTATGGGATTGGAGGGTCAGGACATCTGAAAAGTCCAAATCTTAAAAATTGATTCTGAGCTGTTCATTGTATTCCATGCTCCCACTCAGATGTCGAGGTCTTCAATCACTTATTACACTAATGTCCAATGACAAGTTACATCAGGATTGAAAATCTCTCTTATGATTTACGGTTAGAAGTACGACTGACAACTAGGGTTATAATTTGATGTTAACATTGCTCGTTTGGATTAAGATTATGAATTGATATCAGAAGTTAAGGGAAGTTTGGAAGGATGCGTTAAAGACAAACAATAATGATATTAGGGAGGAATAAATTGAGTGAATAATACTGTAGTAATATAAATGAGTATTTAGACAGTTATTGCTTTCCTTTTAAATACACCTATTTACATATCTGTGACTTACTGTGGAATGTTCCATTCATTCTACTCATAGAGATAAACAACATTCCATAATATTTTTTTAAGCAACGATGGATAGTGGCTAGCAGTGGAATCCAGGACGCGCGTTTCGTCCTATTTGAGACGCGTTAGCTGGATGTACCTGCATCTCAGAGTTGCTGTTCGCTCTGAGACTCGAACCCAGTGCCATTCGCTTCAAACGCCATCTCGTTATCCACTCAGCTATTGAGTCCTGATAGCCACTTGCTTGTGCAATGGGGTGAATTTCAATTCACTTGGTATTGTTTGTCTTGTATCTTCCTATTGACGTTTCCATAATATTAATGTCAACTATTAGATAGTATCATATTGACATGAAATAGTTATTACTTTCTCTTTAGTTTTCACTTATTCTTTCTATCTCTCTCTCTCTAATCAAGATTAATCCATAAGGATTATGGATAAATTCTATACCCTAATAAAAATGACAATTTTTCTTTACTCAATAATGCATATACTACTTGTATCCACAGATATAAGTAGTATGTAAGACCTGGAAGTAAAAGAATGAAAAAATCGAAATTGTAGAGAACAAGAATGAAGGCACAATGGAGTTTGCAAGAGACAACTGATGAAAGGTGTGCATACGAAGTATTTAATATACGGTTTTTATATTTTATCGAGACATTCTGTAATTTTTATATTAAAGAATAAATTGGTCTCCCTTACTCGAGTTTTAGTTCACTACAAATGCCAAAATCTCCTGGTACGGCTGAGAGAAGGGAGAGTCAGCTATCCCTCTCCAAATGCACTCACATGGCGGCGTGTATACAGTCAGTACCAGAGAAGTCTTACTCACTGCCTTCTCGTGCTATTATTATTGTTTACGAAATTGAGAGGACGAAAAGCCAATGCCCGGCAGCGGCTTTAACCGGGTTGGTGGACACGGAGATTCTACCTAGGGGCGTTGGAAAACCCTCATTCCAAACTATTGATGCACATGAGCTCCAGGACACTGGAGGAACAAATGACGTATGAACCAATTGTTGGTCACTGGTTACCATGGGACTGCATCTTTCATGTTGCTCCACTATCTTTTGAATAAGACCTTTATATCTTAGGCACTGAGTGTGGCCCCTCAGAAAACAACGTACTTTGATCTGATCACTCGGGTGGTATTACAGGTCAAACACAGTCAAGTGACTTGTGTGAGGCATTTGTATTCGGTTCCCCTTTGTATCATTACTTATATGTTCAGCCACTGCAAGTGGTTCTGCTAACTGTTATTACGCAATTAGAATTTGAGAAGTTTATATGTGATTAGATGATTAATTCGACTATTTCAGCCATTATGCTAACTATATACCAATTACTCCTACTGTTCTTCTGTTACCCAGTGAATTTGATACTTGTGAATAATTGACACCTTCAAACTTATATATTTATTTTATTGAGTAGGAAGCAGTTACCCATCTGTTGATATTGGAATAGTGTCTTGTCATATGATGAACTGATTGAATTTAGATATGTTACCCTTTGAATACTAACTCAATTGTCTTAATTCAGAAAGCTTATGATGCGACTTGATGATCCTAATTTCGCTTCCATGAATAGTTATACTTGCACACTACAGAATAGTCCCTTAGTAGACTGAAAATATCATCCAGTGCATTCAAGTTTTCAACAATAGTCAAACTGAATAAAACCTATGGTGTAAACGATGACATTCAACAATTCCTACAAACCTCGTATATTTGAATTAAGTATGAGTAGATCATAGAACATAATATAAAAATCTTACCTGTAATAAGTTCACGATGTGATGTGAAATATAATTCAACACAACCAGTTGATGGAAAAATTGTCTCTACAATATAAATGACAACATATTTACATGGTAATCTACTGATAATGATATAAGTAGTATGTTGAAAAGAATGAGCTTTAGTTGACGACCTACAAATTTGATGGAAATATGAAGCTGGATATTTTGGCAGGACTCTAATTCAACGATGAGCCAGCACTAAGATTCTGATGTGAAATTCCACTGTCCATTTAACACTATAAATTATGTCAGTTCGTGGTAAAAATTGTAAATCTAATGCTGACACTAACTCCAGTGAGACTATAATTTATGAATGAATCATTCAGATTTGGGATAACAGGTCATGGAATTTGGCACGAAATTCATTCATCCATTTGTTTAAATAGCGTCTTGACATCAGTTCGTGATGAATACTCCAAATCTATTTCCTAATCCTAACCATCAACTGTAAATCATAATCTTTATTCTTCATATAGATTTATAACACTCATTTAGCTCTAGTAAATAGATGAACATCCTAAGGTCATTTAGCGTTGCTTAAACGCCGTCCATAAATTATAGTCTCACTCTAATTTCTTATCCTGATTCCTTACATTAATTTATAACCTTGAACTAGTAAGTAGTTTACGTTTCACGAGGTCACTTTAGTGTCTTTCAAAGTTCATCCATAAGTTATTGTATCTTACAGAGTTTGTAATACTTGATTGTTCCAGAAGTGCTATGATGATGATGATGATACGCTGTATGACTATTTGTAGTCTTCACGATTGATCAGGTGAGTGGAAAAGTGATTGTTCGTACTGATTCATTTCCTATAGATGATTGGACAAGTAGAATTCTGCAGGTCTTTTTAGAATGTATTACAATTGATTGATCACTGAAATGTGATCAGTGCCATGTTTTTTTTAGATTTTTAAGGTATAGATAGAAGTCCAAGTAGTTAGACTTTTTGTGCACCACTACGATATGTCAGATGGTTGAATATAATTCGAAATGGCTATGTGTGTTAGGTCCTTCTTAGTTCAAATCGAATCCTATAGACCAAGCTGCAATCTGGTCACTAGTCTAAGTGATTCGACATTTCGTGCATTTTGTTGAGATAAGATGATGATTGGTTGCTGACGAGTGCTAAGTAGCACGAAACTTGAGTCCAGGGTTTCCTGTTGTCTATCTCCAACCACCATTTTACCTGTGCTCAATGATATTTGAATTGGAGGTGAAAGTTGAATATTAGAAGTGTGTGTTTCATCCTTTCCCCCACGTATTACCAGGATGCACCTAAATCTCAGTGTTTATGTTTACACTAAGACTTGAATCAAATGTCCATTAAACTACTGAGTCCAGGTAACAATTGATCTGTTGAAAAGAATGGATTATCCTTTATAATACTTTGGTTTCCTACCCACATAATCTCTGTCTGCATCAAAAAATGATAAACTTAGAGCTGGTTCTCAATACCTCATCAAACGTATTCATCACAGGGAAGAGGCGTGATAAGAGGGCGCATTTCGGTAACTGGAAGTGTTTATGATAAGTTGAATGCTAACATGATTAGTAGGCTACAAACTTGAAACTTGATAAAGTATAAACTTTGTATATTCCAAATGTCTCATTAGCATTTGATTGCTTGCCAAAAGATTTTTTAAACTGACTAATTAATTCAGTTCATTGTTATTACAAATTACTTTTAACATTTGTTAGCATGTACCACAAATGATACATGGAAACAATGTCCTTTTACATCTCAAACGATGGATATGTAACTAAACAGTTTGTACATGTTAATTTACAGATGTAAATTATGACTTTTAATGACTGAAGATTTGGGTAAGTTTGTTATATCTACTCAAAGATTTCGCCAAATCAGTGTCTCCAAATCAGTGTTCATAAATCTGAGTTTAGACAATGGTTACATTTGATGAGACTATAGTGAATGGGATAGACATTATACAGGTCCTATCATTGCCAAACTTTATTGACACTAGTATAGATATAGATTTGATGAGGACTAAGGGTCTCCGAATTAAATGTAGGGATCTCTTTACAAAGTTAATGACTGGTGAATAGAATCTTTTTAACTAACTCTGACCGTCATCATGAGGGACTCTGTTTTGTCATGTTGTTTCGATATGCATAAGCTTGTTAAATTCTTTTTAGTATGGTAACTTATGATCAATGAACATGTCTGCCGGGCCCTTTCTTTTATCAGTTTGTTAACGAAATTCAGTGAGCTTATTGGAATCCTGATCAGATCGCTTCCGTAGTGCCATCAGTAACAAGCACTTTTAAACGTAGTTTGACAGTGGCTAGCAATGTAACGCAAGAATCACGATTTTTCCTTCTTGAGAATTATCAGTTAAAACTTGAACCAAGTACATTTATGTTCAAATGTTTGCGACCTAATGGGAATGTCAAGCCGATCTGCTCAGAATGTACGTATACCAAAAAGAGACTGATCAGTCGCGATCCTAAACACTGACATTCGAAAGACTCAAACATGTACAAACAAATTATTATTCATCCCCGTTATACAACACATTAGCCATCTGGACTCAATAGTTACGTGAATAGTGCGTTGGCAGTTTAAGCGGAAGTTACTCGGTTCTAGTCCCGGAGTGAATTCTGACCCTATGAGACAGGCACATCCAAGTGTTGAATCCCAAACGGGTCGAAATGTGAGTCTTAGATTTAATTGTTCAACAATATCAAACTTTACTCAATATTTTATTGCTACAAGTTTACTCTTCATTCTTAATTGGTGAAGTGCAAGCTAAATCCGTCTTGATTTATTAACGTAACTAATAGTTTGTTCATTCTTGTGTTGGTTGTTTGAAACTTCACATTTACATTTAGGACTGCAATTGACCATTCTCTTTCTTGGTATATGTGCATCCTGTGCGGATTACATCTATGAGGCTTTAATTCATAAGCATTATAAGCAGAAATGAACGATGACTAGCAGTGGAATCTAGAACGTGAGTTTTGTCCCACTTGGGATACGTCGGCTGTATGAACCTAAGTCTCCGAGTTGATATACACTCCAGGACTCGAACCCAGTACCTTTAGCTTCAATCGCTGAAAATGCCAGTGACTTAGCGATATGGAAGCAATCCACACAGGATATATATACATAAGCGACTGATCAATTACCATTCTAAACGTCAATAGAAAGATTCAAACAGCCAATACAAAACAGAATTAAACTTCAATCCATTTCAAAAGCTAGTAATTATCTTGACTCGGTAGCTAACAAGATAACACGATGGTATTCACAGCGATCAATACTGAGTTCTAATCACAGAGTGAACATCAACTCTGGAATGTAGACACATTTAGATAACGAGTCTTTGATAGGATGGAACGCGCATCCTAGATTCCACAGCTAGCCACCATCCATCTCTACTCGCAATTAATGCTTCTTTAAACATATTGAATGGGTCATTCGATCTTAATTTGTCTATAATAAGCGTTGATTATTTGTCAGTGAATTCATAATCACACACAACAAACATGTAGACAAAAACATCATCAGAACATTTTCCCTATTGCATTCAATCTGAAATAATGTGTATTTTTATTCATGAATCGATTGATACTAGACCACCAATGAAAAGTTGGAAACTCACTAATGACTACTTCCAAGGTGATTTCCTGTAGTTCTAGTGAGAAACCGTGATCGATGGAGTTGAATCCATATCAGGTAGAGACAAGTATCTACCTCAGATAATGGATGAATGGTTGCTCAACCATTCATGAATCGATAGAAGTTAAACATTAAGGTTAAGGGTTCGTGCACGAGACCGAAGTTTATGGGTTTAAATCTCAACTGTAGGAACATGAGTGAGCACGGTTTACTGAGAAGTACCATACTAGGACGAAACGGCCACCCAGAGCTTTTGACATCGACTGATTCATGATCTCAATCAGAAAACTTAAAAACCTCCACAATCCTATACTCATATATATATATATATATATATATATATATGAAAAAATATTAAGGCGCGAATTGGCAAAGCAAGAGCAGCATATTTACAACTGAGGAACATCTGAAACTCAAAACAACTGTCAACCAACACCAAGGTCAGGATTTTCAATACAAATGTCAAGACAGTTATACTGTATGGAGCAGAAACCTGGAGAACTACGAAAGCAATCATCCAGAAAATACAGGTGTTTATTAACAGTTGTCTATGCAAAATACTTCGGATCCGTTGGCCGGACACTATTAGCAACAACGTACTGTGGCAGAGAACAAACCACGTCCCAGTGGAGGAAGAAATTAGGAAGAAGCGCTGTAAGTGGATAGGATACACATTGAGGAAAGCACCCAACTGCGCCAAAATTCAAGCCCTCACATCGAATCCTCAAGGCCAAAGGAGGAGAGGAGGATCAAAGCATACATAACGCCGAGAAATGGAGATAGATATGAAAAGAATTAACAACGATTGGATAGAACTAGAAATGTAGGCCGATGACAAAGTGGGTTGGAGAATGCTGGTCAGCGGCCTATCCTCCATTGGAAGTAACAGGTATGAGTAAGTAACAAAGTAAGTATTGGAAAAAATGGCAGATTCATAATAATAGTTGATTTCTCATTTTCAGGAAGTAATGTGATTCAATATGGTTTCTTCTTATTTATCATCATAGTAACAAAAATTTTTTGTTTGTTTAACGTTCATGAAAGGATGAATGTTTTTTTTGTTTTTTTTCAAAGAAAAGAAGAAAATAAAAATTTAAAAAAAATTTTTGGCTGATTGGAATCATTTTCTCTCTTTCAAGTCATGTGCTCCCTTTTTAAATTAAACATTAGAAGAAGAAAATTCTTTAAAATTTATTAGAAACCATGTATATACTACTAGTGTGGTATGAGCTACTCATATTCACATAAGTAGTATACAACGATGATCAGAAATAGAATGTATTTCAGTAGAAGATCAAGAAGGAAAGAACAAGGACGGAAAGTAATTGGTATGAAATCGCAGGAACAATGAAATCTGAGACGATCGACTGATATTTGCAAAAGAAACAGTCAAGTTTGAGACAATGGATGAATGTTTGGTAAATTAAGTATTTACTGTATGATTCTCAGATTTTAATGAGATATTCTGTAATTTCATGTTCAAATACAATTTACTGCCCCCACTTGTGTTCTTGTTCACTACGTTAGTACGACAGAGACTGGGTAATAGTTCATTTTTTCTCTTCTTCTTTTTCATAAATGTTTCTATACTACTAATGGTAGTAGATAATCTAGTTTCTGGTAATTCTTATTCTCAGAAAGGGTTTTGTGGAGATTTTAAAAATTTTACTGGTTGAAATCATGAGTCAATTGAAGCTAGACCACTACTAGTGACTGACTTCAAGAGATACTCCTAGAGTTCTAGTGAGAAGCCGTTACCAATTTAGTTCAACAAGATCTGTTGTGGGATATCAACTCACTGAAGACAATGGTGTACGGTGGCTCAACTTCGTGGATTGGTTGAAGTTAGACATTAACACCGTTGGACACCAGCTCAGTGGTCTAGTTGGGCCTGGCGCGAGCTTGGTAGGTCCTGGGTTCGAATCTCTCGGGGTGCGGGATCACGGATGCGCATCACTGAGGCGTCCTGTCCTGGGACGAAACGGCCATCTAGTGCTTCCCGGTCTTCCATGATGATCTAGCTTCAATTGACCCATGATTTCAAACAGTGATAATTCTTATTCATTAAGGAAGTAAAATTTTGACTATCGAAGATAAGCGGGATTTTACAGTAGAAGTTAGAACTTATTGATCATAACCAATGAGACATATGAACCTTAAGGTCCTGCATAAATGAACGATGTACAAATTTACTTTGATTAATGAGTTCTATGGAATTAGGTCCCCTGACATTTTTATACTGCCATATGGATTAGGTTTAAAGATAATAATTCTATAAGAAAAATAACTACATTAAATTAAGTTTATGGGAAGTATCTCAGCTTGAACACAAGTATTATTGATGTCACTAGCGGAAACTATTGATGCTTGTGTTTGAGTGGAATATCTTTAGAGTATTCAATATACTACACACCGAAGACCTTCACTTTTCAACCACTACAATACTGAGATGACATCTGGTGATATATATTTTCAAATCTAATCGATTAATGATGAAGCACAAGGATTATTCGATATCATTAGAGACGATTATTCCATTCAAGGTATAGTTGAAGTCCACTAGTCATAGCTTCACATCTGAACTTTTAGACTTAATCTCAAAGCAAATTAATATTGAATAGAAAGTCTTAATATTGTCGAGATGTTTTCTGAAGATTAGTTGGACAAATTACAAATAATCAGAAATGAGGATTATTGAATTATAATCCATTGACTTAATGGGTAATCATTTTTGCATTGTGTTTTGAAGGTCTTGTTCCAATTTATAACTGGATGATAGATGGTCACTCATGAGGAGGACTATACTTCAAAGCACTTGTTCAGTACTTTCTGGATTTTAATAATACCGTAAATGTTGTCAATCGATGGTGTGTGATACCTATAAATGATAATTATCTCCACAAATCCACTTCATCTAAGTAACAATTCTATCCGTTTAACATGTTGACTTCCGATGTAGCTCAGCAGATTAGTCGATAAAATTCTAAATCCCAAACAAAATGTACTGGATTCTGCCCTGTGTTAAAACATCACGAAAAGAGTGGTTAGATACTAAGTTGGCGAGTTTTCTGTAGACGGAAAAGCATGCTGCCTATATTGCACTACAAGTTTCCATCTAAACTGTATCTAACAGAAGTAAATGTTGGTTGGCATTGGAATCCAGGAGGCATATTTCATCCTATTTGGGACTTATTGACTTATCGATGTATCTGTATTCCAGTGTTAATGTTTACTCCTGAACTTGAACCCAGTACTGTACACTTCAAACGTCATCGCATCCTAAACATTAATGAAAAGATTCAAGTAACCAATGACATTCACAACTCACTAAAGTTTGGAATGACAAACTTACATCATGATATAAATAATAATTGAATTGCAGCAAAACAAATTTCAACTTACTCTCACATGCCTCGTCTAAATCCACTTTGAAAAAGGATAGCTTTTCAGCATCCACTGCACATGTATGAAATTGAGCTCTGTAAAATGAAAAACAAACATTAATGATTGACATGGAACAATGTCTTGTTCTAATGGTTATTTAGGACTGCAATTGATCAGTCTATTGTTGGCATATGTGCATCCTATGCGGACTGCCTCGATATTGCTTGAAGTCACAAGCATTATAAACAAAGATGAATGGTGACTAGCACTCGAGTGAAGACACGTGTTTCGTCCTATTAGGGACTCGTCAGCTATATGTACCTGAATCCCAGGGTTGATGTCCACCTCGGGACTCGAATCCAATACCGTTCACTACAAACACTTCGTTTCAACACGTAGCTACTGAGTCATGATAACCGATTGCTTGTACAATAGTGTGAATTTGAAATTCACTTGGTATTGTTTACGTGAAGCATCCCATTGATGTTTAGGACTGCCACTGACCAGTCTCTTATTAGCAGAGAAAATCGTCAATATCATTCAGGATTCACACGACCGACTATACTACAAAGTCGCGTATGGGAGACAATTGTCAGACGCATTCCATGTGAGGACCGAAGTCAGAAAAAGTTGCCTACACTCCCACTTTCTCTTTCTGCTGTTGGTTGACTAGGTTATGAAGACCTCGATATCTGTCGGGAAGCACGGAATACAATGAACAATTGGATGCAACTAGACGATTTGGACTTCGCAGATGGCCGGGCTCTTATATCTAATACATAACAACAAATGCCGGTGGAGGCAGTCACTGTAACAGCAGTCTCTGGATCAGCAGGCCTCGACATACGCAAGTGAAAAAGCAACGCTGTCAAATAAAACTTAGGGAGCACCGAATCAATCACACTTGTTAGAGAAGCTTTGAAAGCGGTGGAAAGTTTTACGTATATGGAGGGTTCGTATACAAATGTAAAGGTAAAGACTGACAAAGAAAGGATAAAATACTTACAGTTGAAGAAAATATGGAACTCAAAACAACCGTTTGACAACCAATATCAAAATGAGAATCTTAAATATGAACGTCAAGACAGTTCATTCAACTGTACGGAGCTGAAACTTTCAGAACTACTACAAAGATCATCAAAGAAGTATAAGTATTTCTAAACAATTGTCTAGAAAGGATACCCAGTGTCCATTGACCAAATACCATTAGCAAAAAAACAGCTTCCACTTGGAGAAGAAACTAGGAGAATGGATAGGACACACAATGAGGGAATCATCAAACTACATCACGAGGCAAGTGCCAACTTGGAATATAGCAGATTTGCAATGGAAAAACCAACTGTTTTAGCTCACTTATATGGGATTGGAAAATAGACATCTCCAGCGGTTGGTACTGTTACATCCTAACTAAGAATAAATGAATGGTAACTTCTAGGAGTTATTTATGGATTGTTACTATATGTATTCTTACTGTATAATTATTGTGTAACTACATATATTACTCTTGAGTAACTAGATTATATATATTTATATTTCTTTCTTGTCAGCTTTCAGTTGATCTTTTGTCTATTATCATACAATACTATTTTCAAGTTATTCCCAAGCTATCAGTTATAGTCTCATACACTCACAACCACTTTTGGCCTGATCTTGTATAATTGTTGTTTTCTATTTGTTTGTGTGATGTGGTCTGGTTTGCTTGTATATAAACTGCGTATGTTTGAAATATAAGGTTCATACAGTGGAAGCTGATATTGTGTTCTAAAATCAATGAGTAAGGCAAGGCAAAAAGAACCATTAAGGACTTAGAGTTGACTCTAGTCTGCTTGTGCTGGTTCCAGAGTTATTGGTTTGGCACAATGCCAAAGTCTTAAAAATCGGTGTTTTGATTAGCCATCTTGTCACGTGATAAATGACGGGCTATCAAACACAATACGATAATCCACAGTCGAAATTCGATAAATAGTAAAGGTGAATCGGAGAGAAATCATGTGTTATACGTTTTGAACACTCCGAAGACCATGGTATTAGATCGCATCCTTTTAAAATATTGTTTTTTTACTACTTTATAAAGTTATAGTAGTATATAACATTAGGATGTTACATATGGAATTTCCCCAAAAGTCTGAAAAATCTATTTAAAGTGGCTTTTATTTCTGTAATTTGTTATCTTGAAGTAGATAAGATAAGCAACCAATGGTTTGTGTATGACCATAGTATGACTCTTTACAATCTTTTTTACGTTTACTGTTTCTCCTCCATCATCTTTAAATGAATTATTCCACTGATCATACAAAATACATATCACCTGGATGTACCTGGATCCCAGAGTGGACATCAACTCTGTGATTCAGGTATATTCAGCTGACGAGTAACAAATAGGACGAAATGCGCGTTCTGGATTCTACTGCTAGCCATTATTCATCTTTGCTTATAATGCTTGTGAATTAAGACACTATCGAGGCAATCCGCACAGGATGAAAACAGATGACTGATCAATTGCAGTCCTAAACAACAGTAGGAAGATACAAGAAAAACAATATCAAGGGAATTATGAAATACTTCAGAAGATATATTCAGAAAAGAACTTCAGAGAACATAGTACACATACACATACGGGAGTAAGATAGATGCATTGATATAAATTTATTTGATTTCATACACCATTTATGACCAAATGATTATACAACTGGCAGAATATCTTGAATGTGATCGTTAGATAATTTGAGACTAAATTTCTATCATAAACGTATGGCACAACGAATTCAGCATAAGTGTTGTGGAGATTGGTAATTTTTTGGTTGAAATCATAAGTCAATTGAAGCTAGAACACCATGGAAAACCTGGAAGCACTGGATGGCCGTTACGTCCTGGTATGGGACTCCTCAGCACTGCGCCCCCACGATCCCGCACCCCGCGAGATTCAAACCCACGACCCATCAGTCCCTCGCCAGGCGCTTAAGCAACTAGACCGCTGAGCGGGCATCCAATGGTATTAGTGTCGAACTCAACCAATCCACGAAGCTGCGCGACCATCTACCATTGTACTGAGGTAGACATCTGTTTCTACCCGACACAGAATAGCTCCACTTCTCCCGGCTTCTCACCGGAACTTCAAGAATTTTCTCACGAAGCTAGTCACTAGTGAGCACATAATAATTATCAGTTTAGGTGTTGTGGAGATTGATACGTTTTTGATTAAAGTCGCAAGGTGCGGGATCGTGGATCTGCACTGCTGAGGAGTCCCACACCAGGACGAAACGGCAGTTCAGTGCTTCCAGGTTTTCCATGGTGGTCTATCTTCAATTGACTCATGATTTCAATCAAAAACAGGGAATTCATAAGGATAAAGCTTTAGTTGAACAAATGGGATATAAACAGCAAAAAAACAAATAATCAACCCACCGAAATAAACATTCTTGAAGTTGTGTTGAAAAGTTTGGTTGTATGTAACAAGCGATTAAAACATCACCATGCAATGGTAACACTGGTTCAATCGGAAAAATGTATCGTTCCACTCGAAAATTCACATTTGGGCATCTAAACAATATTTGGAAATAGGGGACGGTATGACAGCAAAAATAAATTTGTGAATATCCGCATGATCAATTATATACCAAGATGATCCAAAACATTTCATGTACAAGTAGCCTCATTTTCCTTCTACAGTTACACAACTTAGAGCATCTTTTGGATGTAAGTTGATTGGAGGTAGCCTGTTGAAAACTATGGACTCGGATTTCATACGACCTGGGATTTGTCATTTAGGATGATATTCAGGACCATGACATCCAGAATCACGGTCTTAGATGTTACCGATCAGTCATATAGATCACCAGTGATCTCATGCAAAACAAGTATTTTCACACTGAATGATTACTGTGTAGTAACTAGTGTTGTGTTGTTCCGATTATCACGTAAGTTACAAAACTTCATGAGAATTTGTTAGAAAGATAGCTTTCCATTTACAGATCATGATCGAAATAAAAGTGAATAAATAAATATGCTCACTAGTGACTGGCTTGAAGAGGTATATCCTGGAGTTCTAGTGAGAAATAGTGACCAGTGGAGTTCAACCAGGTCAGTTGTGAGATAGTAACTCGCTGACGACAATGGTGGATATGTCACTCAATTTCGTGGATTAGTTGAAGTTAGTCATTAACACCGTTGGATGCCGGTTCAGTGGTCTAGTTGGTTAAGCGCCTGGCGCGAGACTGAAAGGTTCTGGGTTGGAATCCCGCGGGGCGCGGTCGTGGATGCTTACTTCTGAGGAGTCCCGTACTGGGACGATACGGCCGTTCAGTGCTTTCAGGTTCCCCAAAGTGATCTAGCTTCAACTGACTCATGATCTCAACTGTTGAAATTGCTACGCTCTCCACAAAACCCCTTCTGACAATAATTTCTAGTTCATGTCACCAACTGACTTTATTCAACCAGTTATCAAAACTGAGATTGTACAGGAAACTATTTCGCTATGATATGGAACTTCTTATAAGTAAACCAGTCACATGTTTCCTTTTGTTCAATGAAAAACACTCGTCAGTTGGATGTAGCCCAACTTCAGTCATGATGTTTCCACTATTGTTTGAATTTATTATTATCAAATTTAAATTTTATGAAGCTTTCATATTTTGCTCTATATACTTGTAGTCCAATATGTTTACATGATGCTCTACAGATGAGTTTTGAAAATATAAAAAATGATGTTGATATGAACAGAGAAACAAGATGCTTTGACAAACTACGAAAGCTATTCTTCGAGACGTTATTCCATTTTATTCAAAGTTTGTAAAACACTGACATTTATTTTTGTTCCTAATCTATTCTACAGAACATAAGCTTTCGTTCGATGTATGATTCATTGCCATACCCGTTTTCTGTTCCGAAGCTATTTTAATTTAAGCATAATATTTTGCACCTTATTTTCTACGCTAAGTCTCGGCTTTGGACATAGTTGTATCTTTCCTAATTATTGTACGTTGTGTTCGGGTTAGTCACCTATTTATTCATATACACTAATCTGAAATCAGGATATTGGGAATAGATCGAGTAGTGTTTCAGCTGTCTTATCTTCTCTCTCATTCACGTGTTTGTCAGCCAATCAGGTGATTGAATAGTTTTCTTCTCCCTCTACCCCATTTTGAACTCACGCGTACTAGCCTCAAAGTTAAGCCGGTTAGCCTATCGTGCCAAGGTCTTAATCTGGATTAGATAAGTAATCCTCAGCACCAAATGTGGGTAGACAGACCAAAGGACATAATAGTGAGTTACTATCTCACAACAGTTTTGGTTGAACTTCATCGGTCACTATTTCTCATTAGAACTCCAGGAAAAATACCTTTTGAAGCCATAGTCACTAATGCATATATACTGATTAATATTCAGAAGGAATTTTGTTATAGAAAAACTTACAAAACTCTTGTAGTATGCATTAAATTTAAATTTTGATAAATTTTTAAAAAAAGACCACATTCCTTATCAACAAATGTTTGAAAATGTTTTAATGATGGTAATTCACTAAATGTTGTTTGATCAGTTTGCTGCTGATGGTGGTGGTGATGTTGTTGTTGTTGTTGGGGGTGGTGATGTTGTTGTTGTGTAATCATTGTTGTTTTCAATAAATTAATTGGACTAGAAAATATTTGATCCCATCTTTTAATATGATCAATATCATCATTATCATCATTATCATTATCGATTTCATTTAAATGATCATTAATCAATAAATCATTTTGATTGAATGATGATGATGATGATAATAATAATGTTTGTTTGATATTATATTGATTATTTTGATTATTATGTTTATGATTAATCGATTGTATTTGATTAGTGATTATTTCATCTGGTTTTGCATATAATGAATTTTCATTAGTTTCTATAATTGCATCTAATGATTGTCCAAGATAATGTCCTCTTGATGAATCACGATATACAATTGTATGTAAATAAACTAAACGATCTTGTAAAATTAATGCACCAGTTAATAAACCAGAAAAATATCCAACATATCTAGAAGAGAATAAAATAAAACAAAACAAAAAAAAAAACAGTACAGAATTGAATCAATGACGAGACTTTAATTTTAAGGACGAGTCAATCAGAAACGTTCGAGAGATTTCAAGGTTATGGCGCCATCTATCAATGATTAATGCTAATGTACGATCGGTTCATAGGGAATTTTCTAATTGAGCAGCTATAACAAATAAAATGGCGAGACTATAATTTGTGGATGAATCAATCAGGTACAAGATAATAGATCTCGGATTTTGACGTGAAAGCCTTTCATCCATTTGACTAAATAAATTTCTGGCATTATAGCTGATGTCAGTTTGTGATGAAAACCCTGTATATAATTCCTAACTAAGGCGAATTATGTTAATTATCGCGAACTGGATAATAAAAGCACCATTAACACTGACTGCAACCAGGTACTACATTATATACGGATGATTGGAGAGTGTACAGACTCCTACATAGGCTTGGTTATGTGCATCGTGTGGTTATCCACAAGTAGCATTTTATGCACTCAACAACCAGAGTGCACATAAACAATATTGAAGCTATGTGATGGAGGCTGAAAGAGTATTTGAGACTTTATCATGGCTCTAGAGGCTGACTGTTCTGTAGCCGTATGGATGATTTCCTCTACTGTATGCATTACAATTTTAGAACCTCTGAACCTCTTTCTAATCTTGACAAGTATTTGAACCACGTATAAGAAGTGTATCCACTTTATTTCCTTGGTTTCGTATAACATATTTTTACTCTATAATGACTGTGTACTGATTGGCTAATATTTCACAAGGTGACTTAAGATTCGTTCAAATGACGTCCATAAATTAGAGTCTTGCCGATGATCATTTATATATGATGACCTTTGAATGAGCCTTAAGCGGCCTTGAGGAATCAGAATTCAAATAGATACACTACTTTTATATGATTCAAAAACTTATCATAGTGAGAAAGAGGTTCAGAGATTCTGAAATTTTAATACATACGATAGAGGAAATCATCTATATGACTCCATAATAGTCGACCGCTGAAGCCATGATAAGGTCGTAAAAACTTCCAGCTACGACCACATAGCTTCACTATTGTTGGTGTACACTCCGGTTAAGTAAGCTTGTCATTTTTATTACGTATATATCTCGACAATACACTTACCACTTAACAGCTGAAGCTTTAGTAAAATCTTCAAATGTTACATCTAATGTTATTGCAATTTGCTTTATTCTCAATCTGGATCAAGAGAAAAAAAGTTCCTATTCTAGCATACTTCTCCCTCCAACATCTATTGTATCGAAAAACTACATCATCACATTAGTCTGCACAAGGTCCATAAGTCATTTGACTACGACAATTACAAATAAAGGAATTTCTTAATAGTCCCATTTATTGTAGCCGCTCAATTATCATGTTTTCTTTAAACCATCATTGAGGACCGGCAAGCTCTAGATGGATATTCCGTCCTCGTATGGAACTTCTTGGCAATGGGCATCGTGACTGTGTGTGGGAATCGAACCCAGGACCTTCGGTTTTACTCACGAACGCTTAACCTCTAGATCACCGAGCCGGTATTTAACGGTGTTAATGTTTATTATTTATTTATTTAATTATTTATTTGAACACATAAATGTTGTTACAAAGGGGCACAGAATACATATGCACCACACAAATCACTTGAGTTATGTGTGCTGTAATACTACCTGGATGTTCAGAACAAAGCAGGTGGTTTTCACAGGAGGCTACACCTAGAACCTCCAACATAAACATCCGATCCACATGACAGTAAAGCAACTTTTGGGGATGCAGACCCATGGTAGTCGGTGATCAATAATTAGTTCATACGTCATTTGTTTCTTTAGGATCCTTTAGCCCATATGCATCATTGGTTTGGAATGAGGGCTATCCAACTGCTCTGGTTGGACCCTCCGTCTCTATCGATCCAGTCAAAGCCTCTGCCAAACATTCGCTTTTCATCCTCTCAATCTCGTAGACAACACTCCAGGTACGAGAAAGCAATGAGTAGGACTTCCATTGGAGTGAGTGATCATGTGAGATGGAGAGCTAACTCTCCCCACCCTCAGCCATACCGGGGTATTTGTGGACATGATTAATAAATTCAATCAATCCATAATGTTGCATCGCCATCTCCTTTTGTTTTCGCTGTCTTACACTCGACACACTTGTGCAATACGGTGGATTGATTGAAGTTAGACATTAATACCTTTGGATTCTGAGTTAGTGATCTAGAGGTTAGGTGCTAGTACGCAAAAATGAAGATCCTGGATTCAATTCCTTGGATGCAGAGTCTTGAATGCTGATTGCTGAGAAGTCCCATACTGAACATAACAGCCGTCCAATGCCTTCGGGTTTACACTGGTGCTCTAACATTGGTCGGCTTATGAATTTACTGAAATTCATATTGAACTGTAATCCACATTTCTAAAAAGTTCATTATCAAACTGTAACCTTTCATTTCAAATGCAGAAAATATTTCCAATTTCATCCTTAACTTCAATGATAATGCTCTTTTTGAAATAGATATATACTTCCCCTAAAGAAGAAGAAGTAAACTTCATGCATGTACAATCAATGGTTCAAATTATTTTGAATGTTTTATACTACTACTAACATTTTAAGTAGTAGTAATAATAGTAGTAACATAAATATGTTAGATCATGTCAACTTCATTGTTAGATTGGTAAATATTTATCCATTTATACGCAAATATTTACATAACCTAATTCAATTAACTTTTCTTTTTAACTAATGAAGTTACACTGACTTTTTTCGCTTCCTTTATCTACTTTCAAGTCTACCATTTATTTATGGGTTTAATGAATTCATAGACAATGAGTTTACTTTTATAGTTGAAAGTATGAGTTCATTAGAGTTAGATAACCATGGAAAACCTGAAAGCAATGGATGACCATTTCGTCTTAGCATCGAAATCCTCAGCAATGACCATCCACATTCCTGCTCGCGGGATTCGAACCCAGAACCTCCAGACCATTGAGTTGACATTCAGTGGTGTTATTGTCTAACTTCAAACAATCCAAGAAATCGCGTCACTTTGTGCGTAGGAGTCGTATCTAGGACCTTCGGTATCGTTCGTGAACGCATAACCTTTAAACCACTGAATTTATTTTTCTTGGATAAACTTTTAAGAATAAAACAGTATGATCATCTTCGTTTCTCTGAATGATATAGTTTGATAACAATTAAGAAGAAGAAAAAACGATTCATTTAAAAGGCAAGATGTATTCCCGTTTCCTATTTGTAGAATCCAAAGCGTCACCATGTGAACATATTATATCTCTGATAAAGATTGACAGATTGTCCGTCAACTCAAACTAACTTATGCTATTAGGTAAGACTTAAATCCATTTTTTAAAGTAGCATACATCAGTAAATAAACATATTGATACACTTCAGTTCAATGCATACCTACGTTGTCATACATGAATGATGAAGAAAAGGCTACATTTAACTGAATCATTCCGCTGATGATATTTATGACTGAATTTCGATCAATCTTTGTTGACTAATAAGTTACTGCCTGTCATAAGCCCGGGTGAATGAGGAGGGTTGAGCATGGGGTCGGCAACCCCATCTCGTGGAAAAAATCTTGGTGAAAAGCGCCAATCAGATTAAACAAATTAAACCATTTAAACTCTGCCCTTGGAACTGAAAGAAGAATTACGACGCCTCAGGATGAAAGTCGAAATTCTCCGGACGTTACGAGACTGATGCTCTTTCTAACAACTAGAGCAACAATTTTTACAGGTACATGGAACGTCCAGACAGTGTGGGAGACCGGGAAGACCAGTCAAATAGTTGTCGATAAATGTTTATCCTATGAGGATTACATTAACATGAGCAAATTTTTCTCACAAGTATTATAAAATAGATTAATTCTGACTAAGATTGTGTTGTAAGTCTAGGGCTGGTTAGTCATCATTTGATTTATTCACCAATCGAAATACCACTTATTCCATCTTGGTACTGTACTAAACCAATGACGTCCTACTTGTATGAGCAGCCTAGCGTCTTTATCGGTACTTTGTTCTCCCAGACCTACCAGTTAAGTTCAGAATACCAATACCAGTTTCTACTATACGAATCACTTACTCCAAACATGCCTTGTTTATATATAAGCCAAACAGACCACATCACACCATAAAATAGGAATTACCATCTGTACAAGATCAAGCCAAAATGTGGCTGTAAATGTGGGAGACCATAATCAATAAGCAGAATATGACTTAAGAATAGTAAATCGTATCATAATAGGTCATAATGAAGCTTATAATAAGAGGAATATAGATATGCATAATCTAATTACTGAATGGTTATATAACAGGAATAATTGCAGAATATTCATCCATTAATAGTTCACAGAAGTTACCCTCAGTTTATTCTTCACTGGGATATAACACATTGAAATCTAGGATTAGCGTTACTTCCCATTTCTCACTCATTATTTAGATACACATGAATCTCAGTGTAGATGCCCACACCGAGGTACAAATATCATACCTGTTCAGTATGTCAGTGAATACTTAGACTCATCAATACAGGGGATAATACATTGGATGGGTTTCAAATTTCCATGTGAACATCAACATTGAGATGTAAATGTATCTAGCTATCGAGTCTTATACAAGATGAAGCATGTGTCTTGAATTCAGTTTCTAATCACAATTCATCTATCTTGTAGTACATCACGAGGCAAGCCCTAACTTGGAATCCTGAAGGGAAGAGGAAAAGAGGAAGGCCAAAGAACACATTACATCGGGAAATAGAAGCAGATGTGAGAAGGAAGAAACTAGAAAGGAATGCCTAGGACAGAGTTGGATGGAGAATGGTGGTGAGCGGCCTATTCTCCTTCACGAGGAGTAACAGGCGTAAGTAAGTAATTATTGCTTGTATGTTATAGGTAATCAAATGTACTGAATAGTACTGAATTCGTAATACTGTATTCCTTGAGACAGATAATTTAATTATTAAGAATCTATTGTTATTCTTGTTATATCTAGAACTTAGATCCTTGATATACCACGTACAACTTGAGCAGTCAAACTCTAGAATCCTGGAAGTCACAAGTTCAAAGACTGAAGACCAGTTGGAAAGAATCTTATTCTGAAACAATGTTAAATATGGTACAAAGTTCTCAGGTATTTATAGTTTTTAATAAAGTAAATATCATTATTATAGTCATTATTCAATCCATATACGGTGGTTTATAGCATTTGTCCAATCAGGTAGCTACACATTAGGAATTCTGCAATGTTCTTTCGAAAGATGATTGAATGGAATGTTTTCGACTCTTTCTAAGGTTTTTAGAGCTTTGTGAATTTCATCCATGAGCCATCCTCACAATTGTAAACAATAATATTGGCCAATACTTCAAATAGACTTCTCTTTTATCTGGAAATATTTATCTAAGTCAAAAATCTACTACATGATTTGATAATATTTCCCATTTCTAATAACGAATTTTGACACGAAACTGATAGAAACGAGTAGAAATCAAATATTTATGTGTGATGCTTTTGTAAGGCTGAATAACTGTCTATCATCATTTAAGATTAAATATGAGTATTCTAAATCTTATAACGAGCAATCAGTTATCAAACGATTAAGTTGACATGTAATAGTTTCAAACTACAGAGAATTTACCGTTGTGAAGCGATATTCCATTTGTTATATCCGAGTGGAGATTAAATTACAGGTAACTTCCGAGGACTATTCATGGACTAATATTCTATAAATATTCTTATTGTATAACTACTCAACAATTACACTATGTATATTTATATCCCTCTTATGACAAGCTTTATTTTGGCCTGTAATTTATTATTGTACGATTTACGGTTCTTAAGTTATGTTCAGTTTATTAACTACTGCCTCCCACATTCACAGCCACTTTCTGGGCTTATTTGTGTACAAATATTATTTCCTATTTTATGGTACGTTGCGGTCTGTGTGATTGATATATAAACCAAGTATGCCTGAAATAAACGATCTGCTCTGATTCGGAAACTGGTATCTTGTTCTGGACTCAAGTGGAAGGGCTCGTAGGACATAGGACCAATAAGGACGCTAAACTGCCCACACCGGTTGAACGTCATTGGTTGGCCTAGTGTAAAGATCCGTATAAGTCGTATTCGGATTGGTAGATAAGTCGTGTGATAGAAAAACCAGACACCCAAGGTCATAACACCATTGTCATTATCCATAGCTATTTAAAGCTTAATATGACTGAACTCTATTGAACATAAATTCTCATTAGAAATCAAAAGATTTTTGTGGTGTACGACCAAATCATCCAGCTCAGAGAACAAAACGTCATCAAAATCAACCACCTGAGTTACTATCTCAAGATGAAAGTGTATTATACAAATAAACTAGTAGAGATTGAAATTCTAAGTTTCAAGTCCGTATACAAAGTTTAAATACGGGTAGATATATTTGTAAAATATCAATATTTAGTATGGAATAGATGGAATGTATCTAGCAGTGTCGATGAATGTTAATGGGCTTACGTTTAGGGATAAACATCAACTCTGAGATACAGGTACATCGAATTGATGAGCTTCATATGAGACGAAACGTGCGTTCACTGGATTCTACTTGTAGCCACATTCCGTCTATTCTATATTAACTTGTGTCATAAGGGGGGATTCAGAAAGACAATCATCACACAATGTATATATACTAACCAAGACTAATCAAATTTCTGTCGAAACACCAACAACGAGATAATTCAAATCATTCTAATTTGAAACGTAATGAGATATTTATACTGTGCAATAGTAAGAAGAGAAGATTCGACGCTGATAGTAAGGTATATGATTTGTAGCATTGTCAAAGTGATGATGATGATTCATTGGTAGAGATGAAGAAACTATTTGTTGAAATTATCTCATAGTATTTAATTTCTCAATTGATATCTCATGATGTAGGTTAAATAATTCAGCCATACTTATAATTTGTCGGCCATTTTTTTCTCTCTCAGAAACTAACAAATCGATTCGTATCAATAGACTTTGTCTTTGAATCCGAGTTTTCACTTCAAATTAACCACCTGCCCCCACCAACTATCACCACCACCACCACCACCACACTACCACAACTACGACACACACACACAATGTAAACTTTTCTTTACTAATCTTAACGTGAAATACATTTTGCCAAACGAAATAATTTTGTTTAGGGTAGATTTTAATAAATTCTCACACAATCATTATGTCTGTTATGATGAATCAAATGAGTTAAAATGTTCAGTTTTATTCATTTGTTTGTGTTTCATAATAGTTTCTATACAGATCTATTGAAGGCAACTGAACTGGAACCAAATATACAGTGATTCATTAAGTGTATCATATATTCAAATTAATTCCAATATGGATACTGTTATATCCGGACGATGAATGAATGAATGGTAACTGCCAGGATCTATTTATTCACTAATATGAAATGTACATCTTTACCGTTTAACCAGTAGCTGAGCGGATAACACGATGGCGTTTGAAGCAAATAGCACTGGATTCGAGTCTCAGAGTGAACATCAACTCTGAGATGCAGTTACATCCAGCTGATGAGTCCCAGATAGGATGAAGTGCGAGTCAAATTGGATTCCATTGTTAGCCACTGTCCATCATTATATTATAAGTATATTCATATTCCTTGTGTTATAAGCTTCCGCTTAACCTATTAATTATTGTTCTCAAATGGACTATTGCTGAGTTATTCTCAATTTATTAGTTACAGTCTCGCACAATCACAATTACTATTTGAATTGATCTTGTACTATGGTAATTTTTGACGAGATTATTATTTATGGACGAAACAATCAAGTCTTGGATTTCGGCTTGAAATTCATTCATCCATTTTGGTTGAATAGAGTTTTGGCATTATAGCATTATGAAAACACTAAATCTAATTCCTGACTTTAATGGTCAACTTTAAATCAATATTTAATTCATCACATTGGCTTACAATAATGTATTAGCCCTGTTGAGTAGGTGGACATTTACAAGGTCACTTTAGTTCCATCATATTTTCATTTTAATGGTCTAGTCT